GAAAACAGATCTTATGGATTAAATCCAAGAAGGGTATGAAAGCTACATACTCACAAGGCAACTTAAGGAAGGAGATTCCAAATAGACCCTAATCAGGAGTTCCTATTTCTATGTAAAATTTTCTTTAATTTACTTCAGTAACAACTTTTCCTAGGTTTCCTTTAAATGCTATATTATTGCCAGGTGCGGCTGAGTCAATTTAACTCATAGCTACCTCATGTAACAAAGTAGTAGCTTCTGGGTGGCTATGAACCCCAATCTGTTAGCTGTTGAGTGCTTAACAAGTGCACCAAAAAGCCTCCTTTAAATGCTACAGAAAAGAAAAATATTTATGACTCAATAATTCATCTCAATATTCTTGATATTGATAAAGACCAAATGTCTACAACAGCACTGTCCAATGGAACTTTCAGAGATGATGGAAATGTTCTATATTTATACTGTCTGATATGGTAGCCACTAGCTACATGTGGTTATTATTGAGCAGCTGAAATGTGATTATTACAACTGAGAGCTAAATTTTACATTTTAATTAAATTTAAATAGCCATATATATATATATATATATATATGTGTGTGTGTGTGTGTGTGTGTGTGTGTGTGTGTATAGTGGTTACCATATTAGCAGAGGTCTAGACAATCCACATCAAATAAAGAACTGGCAAATTGGATACTGAAATAATGAAAACTGAGCAGTGTTTTCACAGACTATCTGCCAGGTGATACAGCTAAGATTGTGTGGAAAGAACAGACAATTCTGCATCATGACATCTGGTTTCCAAATCCCCAGGCCACCAATTATCAGCAGTAGGAGATTGTCAGAACCACATACTCTAAATTATACACACATCTTATCTGTAAACTAGGGCTGAAAAGATGTTCCTTTACAGGGACTATATCATTAGGTAGCAAAGTGGCTAAAGCACTTGACTGCTAACCAGAAGGCTGGCGGTTCAAACCCACCAGCCACTCCTCGGAAGGAAGGTTGGACAATCCTACTTCCGTAGTGATACTGCCTCGGAAACCCAAGGAGGGGTCGCTATGAGTCGGGGCCGACTCGATGGCACATAACAACAACAATCATTAATATTGTTTGCATATGACCATACTCTGTAAAAAAGTATAGCACCATGTACAATTACCTATTATTTCTATAGCTTTAACTCAGAAATGAAAATATGGCCATAAACCAATCACAAAGCTATTAATCTAAGTCTAGCCTCAACAATATGATTGAACACCCGAGGTAACAGTCAAGTGATTGCACATTGCTGCCTCATAATAGACACACAGGTAAAAGTATATATAAAAAGTGGTATTCTGGTTAGATCAAAAGGTACTTAATGATTCTATGTTCTGTATTCTTAAAATTTAATTTTTAAACATTTTGACAGCTAATACATATGTATTGAAAAGTAATAAACTGCCCAAAATCTGGCATCCTTCCTCTTAAAATGGCAAAAGAAAAAAAACTGTCAGGGCCAATTACAAAATTTGGCAAGGCTCTTTCACTCTAAAAGAAAAATAGTGAAAAACAGCTCTTTGCTGTGGTGGTAACTAAAAAACAGAACAGCCCAGGGATATTTCTCAATCTCCAGAAGACAAAAGCATGGCCTATGTTTATAAACCAAAAAACCAAACCTGTTGCCACAGAGTTGAACATATAATAAATAATATGTTTAGGAATATATAATAATACCACCTCAAATAGATACAACATTTAAAACCTTATCTGTTTTCCTCAAGCTTTTATCTCATGTGACCCTCATAATAATTCTATTAAGTAAATATGGATTAGTTTGGTACTCTAAGAAGGTAAAAAGCACAATCAAAACTAAACACAAGCAAATTATTATATAGCATTTTCCCTATCTTTTAAAATGGGGTCGATTTATATGTTCATAAATACTTCTTTGCTTAAGGAGAACAAAAATGATTCTATCAACTAAATTCCCAGAGTCTGAGAAGAATGATCTTAAATATACTCCCCTAAAAAGAGGAAATAAACTCTTACTGAATCTAAGATTTGTTCTTAAATATCATGTATATCCTTTTAACTCTGAAGAATCAAGTATGAATTAAAATCAGTCTGAAGGTAAATAATGTAAACTCCCTGGCCATTGCATACTATTTTTCAGTGAGAGTTGGTTATCAAAAAATTAGTATTTCCCTTTTTTTTTTTTTACCAGTCATAAATTGCAAGAAAAATGTTAAGAGCTTTTTTATTATTAGCAATACAACCTAGTGTTTAAGTTTTAACATACTGGCTTTCTTATTAAAAGGATAATGTCCTTAAAAATTTTCAAAATTAAAAAATATATTTCCACATATATCCTTTTATCTTTAGAAACAGTCTTCTTCTGCTATCTTAATATTTTTCTTTTTTCTCATTTAGGATCAACTTTTAGTCCTCTTCCTTCCCATTCTTTGGATTGTCTACTCACAAATTAAAACAAAAAATTTTTAGAGATAAGAAGTAGTCCAATTTATTTTAAATTAGCATCATATTGTAAAACAAGAGATAAATACGGAAGATGGGGATTTTGAAGGATAGAAAATCTCCTAAGGAAAATAAATAAAAACAAGTAGAAATCCTAACTTAAAATCTTATTATTATCAAAACTAATTAAAATTGGGAGCTCTGGTAGCATAGTGCCTAAGGCACTTGATTGCTAACCAGAAAGCTGGTGGTTCAAACCCACCAGCCACTCCTCAGAAGGAAGGTTGGGCAATCTACTTCTGTAGTGATACTGCCTCAGAAACCCAAGGAGGGGTCTCTATGAGTTGGTCTGACTCAATGGCATGTAACAACAAAAATTAAAATTGACATATTAAATAAAATCAGGTTTTGCCCTAAATTGAGGTAAACTGATCTGTCGACATATTTTTAATTTCACCTTAAAAATTGACCCAGTTAAGAAACTGTACACCAAAAGAGCATAAATCTCACTGTGTAAATTAAAAGAAAGAAATAAACCCAGTTAAGAATAAATCATTAGTACAAAAACATGCTGCTTAAACAAACAGCTGAGGTGTCATTTTGGTAAGAAATTTAGTAACAGTATGTTGTTGTTAGTTGCCCTCCAGTAGATTCTGATTCAGACATGGTGGATCCCTGTGTACAAAGCAGAACAGCTGCATAAGGTTTTCAAGGCTGTGACTTTTCAGAAACAGATCCCCTTAACCTATCTTCCAAGGTGCCCAGGTACCTCTGCATGGGTTCCAACCACCAACTTTTCAGCTAATAGCTAGCACTTAACCATTTGCACTACCCAAGGATTCAAAAGCAGTATGTTGTTGTTATTGTTGTTAAGTGCCACTGGCTTGGACCCAACTCATAGTGACCCTTCCTTGGGTTTCCGAGGTGGTATCACTGTGGAAGTAGATTGCCCAACCTTCCTTCTAAGAAGTGGCTGGTGAGTTTGAACTGCCAGCCTTCTGGTTAGCAGTCAAGTGCCTTAGGCACTACATTACCAGAGCTCCTAATACCAGTGTAGTATTTAGGTTCTCTGTCTACAGTAATAAGCAACCATTTAATAATCCATAATTACACTTCAAAATCAAGCTATTAAAATGAACAGGAAAGCAACTTTTTTTTTTTTCTGAGTAATACAGGCATACTCTGTTTGGCTGCACTTCACAGATACTGCATTTTTTTACAAACTGAAGGTTCATGGCAACCCTTGTCAAGCAAGCCTGTAAGTGCCATTTTTTCCAACAGCATGTGCTCATTTCCTGTCTCCGTGCCACATTTTGGTAATTCTTACAACATTTCAAGCTTTTTCATAATGGTATTTCAAACTTAATAGACTACAGTATAGTGTAAACATAACTTTGATATCCACTGGGAAACCAAAAGATCCATGTGACTTGCTTACTTGCAATATTCCTATCTAGACCATAGTGGAACCAAACCCACAGTATCTCCAAGGTATGACGGTATTTATATAGTCTCAAAACAAAAAGTTGTGTGATTCTTGCTTTAAGAAAAATTCAAATACTAAAATTTTGAGTGTGTAATTCAAGTTCAGTTATTTTGGGCATTTTCAATCTGAAAATTATGGTTAGGTTACAAGTAGCTCATTAAAAACAGCATTTAGTACAAGCACAAGATGTGCATTTGCTTTTGTTTCTGCATATACCAGAAAGTAGTATTTAGTTTATACATAGATTGAAACCTTATACATTTCTATGAAGTCCCAAGAAGTCTTCTATAAATATGAAAACCCTATAAATTTTCATTTTTCTACATTTAGACATACATTTATGAATACAGAAAGGAAATGCTACTTAGCACAAAGGAACAGGAGCTTAACTTTACCAATTATTACTGCCATCAAATTTAGCTATCAAAGAGGCACTATGAATTGAAAGGCTTAGGTACTAAGATCAAGTCAGGGAGTGCAGGTATATCTATACAGTTCTTTCCTTCAAGAGATTCAAGGCTCTTCATCCCTTTCTAAACGAACAAAGAATAAATTCTATGGTGATCCCTTAATTCAGGAAGAGACTGCAGAAGGCAAAAGAGAAAAAGTCTTGATATTTTGAGAAAATTAAAAAAAAAAAAACTCCAGATAAATTTTAGCAACAATATTAAAAGCTGAGCTTAGGCCAAAGTGTCAACATGTAAATTATAAACATTAATCTGCTTATTGAAGGCCAATCAATTCACTGTGTTACCATTAACAAGGAAATTAAAGTTCCAATGATTTAAAACTCTCCTTTATCAAACAGGCCCAAATGCTAAGAACAAAAAGAATGATTTTCATTTTTTTGTACTCTTGTTCCATCACCAAAGTTCTATTATCTACTGTACTGTATCTGATTATAAAATAGTTTGTACTATAAACATCAAACATTTGGGTTGGGGAGGGTCATATAACAACTAAAACAGAATACCATGTTTCTACCACTGTAAACACACATATCTGTAGTTAGGCTGGCATTTTAAATTTTACACACTATCCAATAAGAATGCTAAGACAAAGTAATTGACAAACCTGAAAGAATAGCTTCTTTCAAATATAGTAACATATGGGAGAACTTCCTGATATCATTCACCAACTCCTTGATGTAATCCGGATCAAAAATGGAGTTGGAACTTATGGACTTGAGCCCCATTTCAGAAGTTGTAACATCAGAATATACTTGGCCTGATGCCAAAACACGTTTTTTCTTTGTCTTTTTCTGTTTGTGAGCAATCATCCTTTCATACAACTGTCAGAAAAACTGAAATCCTTAAGGGGGAGGAAAAACAAAAACATAAATAAATGAGAAACACAAATACTACATCAACTAAGGGAAATATACTATGTTTTCACCAATAGTCCACAGCCCACCTTAGTATCCTACTTAAAATAAAACACTGTACTACTACCACTACTTTTATTTATTAATGCAAGTAATCTTGGCAAGTCTATGATATATACACTACCATTTTCTCATTTTACAAGTGAGGAACCTCAGCCTTAGAGAATTTATTCAAGCTCTTAGCTGATAAATGAAGCTGGACTGCAAAATTTATGCTCTTTATCACTTCCTCTTGACCCTTGTTGCTGTTGTTAGGTGCCATCAAGTTGGTTCCAACTCAAAGCAACCCTACATACAATGAATGAAACACTGCCGGTCATGTGCCATCTTCACAATCTTTGCAATGCTTGAGCCCATTGATGCAGCACTGTGTCAATCCATCTCATTGAGGGTCTTGACCCTTCGAGTCCAGTTTTTTGTTTTAACCATAAAAATTGTTCCAAAACGTCATTTAGTGGAAGAGCATGTTCTCCCTCCATGACATCACCTTAAAAATATATAGATAAAATGTGGGCTTTGAAAAACAAAAGAACATCCATTTTCAAAATCCTCCTCCATCACGTACTATGTGGCCTGACAGCTGTTAATCTTCTCTTCACTCTGGCCATGCTCATTTATAAAATAGTCATAACATCCTGACAATACCTACCTAATGAGATTATTGTAAGGATTAATTAGACAATGGTATATAAGTGTCCAGCAAATAAAAGTTCAATCAATTACAGTTGATTCACCCTAACTACACATAAACACATATAATGTCCTGGGTTATCAAGTCTCATTAAGAATATTTATTTGTTTAAAAGTGTGTACTAATCTAATATCCTCTTGATTGGCTAAGTAAATAAAAGGTTAAGATTATTAGGATACTATTTTTGGTAAAGGAGTCCTGTTGGAACAGTGGTTAAGTGCTCAGCTGCTAACCGAAAGGTCAGCAGTTTAAATATACCAGCCCCTCTGTAGGGAAAAAGATGAGGTAGTCTGCTTCCATAAAGAATATAACCTTGGACACCCTTTGGGCAGTTTTAGTCTGTCCTATAGGGTCACCACGAGTCTGAACTAACTTGACGGCAAAGGCTTGTTGTTTTGTTTTTCTGTAATTTCAGATGGTAGAGTGAAAAAGATTATCTTTAGGAGTTAGAGTTGGATTTCAATCCTGGTTCTAATACTTTCTAGATCGCTGACCTTCACAATTTACTTGCAGGCTGTGTGAAGATTTCAAGAGATTACAAAATTAAAAGATCTCTGTTCTGGTTACCTAGTGCCACTCTGACAAGAAATATACCACAAATGGGATGGCCTTAACAAGCAGGAGTTTATTCTTACAATTTGGAAGCTTTAAGTCCAAGTTCAAAGTGCCAGGCTCTAGGGGCTGGGTGAAAGCCCCTCAACCTTGGGATCCAGATTTGCCTCCTGCTCCCGGCCCACTGGAGCTAAAGGCGTTTCTTCACTCAGACAGCTGCTGGCTGCTGAGGCTGAGAAGCCCCACGGTTGACAAGTAAAAAGGCACAGTCCCGATATAACCAAACCACCCGGCAGGCCATTAACTTAAGTCCATTGTAAGTCCCAAGGTCAGCAGAGCATGGCAGGTTGCTGAGCAATGACACAGCTACATACAAGATCCAAGGGTGCCAAAGGCTAGAGACCATTCTCAAGGCTTCTCCTAATATACAGGAAGCAGACCACATCCCAAAGGCAGCTACTCAGCTGCTTGTGGTAGATCCCACCATGGAGTTGATTGCCTGTCTCATCATGGGGATTAACTACCATCAGCTGCCCAGCCATTCAACCAGGCCTAGCCAAGTTGACACAAAAACATAACTACCACAATTCCACCCCTTGTCAACCTGGCACCTGTACAGATCTTCAATGGGTGGTATTTGTACACATCTCCTCACTGGGTGGCTCCAGTCCCCTAGTTCCTGAACGGCAGTGACCTCACCACCTTGGCCTGGCCGCCCCCCGTTCCTCTCCCTCTTGGGCATGGCAGCCCTGCCCTCTCACTGTTGGGCAGCGGCTATGGCTCCATCCCACTGGCTCACATGAACGAGCAGTCCCACACTCCAGAACCTAGTTGGTGAAGGCCTGGCTCTTTGAATCTTAGGGGGCTGTGGTCGTTCCACCCCCAAAGGCCATGGCCCTACCCTTTCAGGCTGCGGCAGCTCTGCTTCCGTTTCCCTGATCCCCACTTCTGCCAATTAATGCCGAAGGCAACCCACTCTGCAGGAAATCTTCCTGCCCTAAAAACACTCAGCATTCTTGCTCTGTGGGCTGACCAAACCTGCTACTCCATTTTATGCCGATCTTCTCCACCAAGCAATGCCCAAAGGCAATCCACTCCGCCAGGAAGCTGTCTACCCAATGGCACCCAGCTTTCTCCTCTGTGGGCTGGTAAGGCTGTCGCTGTCTCATGCCGGTTCTCTCGGCTCTGCTCCTGCCTTCTCTCATGCCCAGCCACTCAACCAGGCACAGCCAAGTTGACACAAAAACATAACCACCACAATCTCATATGTGAAAACACCTAATCCCAGTACATAGTTGAACTCAAGAAAATTTTAGTTTGTTTCTTCATCCGAGCATTTTTCCTTTCTAAAATTAAGAATCCTAATTTTGTTTGCATCTCCAAACAACAAAAAGGAAACGACTGAAGGGATTAAATTAGCTCAATCACTATCACTAAAATGCTTTTCAAGTATTTTGCATTAGATATCTGGTTACTTTTTAAATGGTAGAATGACTAAGGACTCCTGTGAAATTTACAGTAGGAAGTTTTATTTAATATTCTTTTCCAGGCACATATTATACTATCTATTCTATTCCCTGTACTTCATCAACTCCACACATTTTTACTTCCTAATATACAGCCTTCCAATCTATCCATGTCCATCTCCCCTGTCACCACACTAGTGTAGATTAGCATCATTTCTTGTCTGAACTACTTTACTAACTTCCTAATGATGATCCTTCATCCATTATTGTACCATTCAAAATACAGTGAGTGAACTTTTCAAAACATAAATACCACCTTATCATCTCTCTGCTAAAAATCCTTCCATAACGGAGAAGCTACTATATACAAGGCTTAACGTGAAATCTGGCTGACTGACCTCTGTAATGAGCTCTAGTAGCACAGTGGTTAAGGTATTTGGCTATGAACCAAAAGGTTGGTGGTTTGAATCCATCAGCCGCTCTGCAGAAGAAAGATGAGACAGTCTGCTTCTGTAAAGATTTACAGCCTTGGAAACCCTATAGGGCAAGTTCTACTCTGTCCTATAGGGTTGCTGTAAGTCAGAATTGACTCGGAGCAGTGGGTTCTTTTTTTTTAATCCCTGGCTCTCAACTCCTCCTTTTCATTCTTCCTGAAGTATGTTTACTGTGATCCACAGTAGGAGATAATTTTACATCATGAGCCAATACACATATTAAATATTTTATATTTGTATAAATGTGTTTGTGTGAGTATGTAATAGACTTGTTTCATAAAACACAGATTCTGACTAAGTATCTATGTGATGTCCTTGATGTTTTCTCTTCTATTCCACTTCACTTTTAAAAATACCATCCACCAAATTTATTTTATACTCATAATGGCTCAGGGCTCTACAGTTTGTAAAACAATTGGTCAGCTCAGAGGCCCATCTATAGTACCTTTTGCCTGGAATACTTCATCCCCTCTATTTACTGATTCAGATCTCAGCTCAAAGATCACAATCCCTTAACCCTCACTCCCCATCCCCAAACAAACAAGAGTAGAATCTCCTCTTGGATGCTTTACAGCATTCTATACTTTTCATCACTGTACATATAACAGCTCAAATAGATGATTCATGTCTTCCCATCTAGACTATAATCTTCAGGAAATCAAAACCATGTCTATCTGCTAACCACGTGCTCTCTGCTCCTAGCACAATTCTTGGCATTTGAGGGACAAACTGTTCAAAACTATCTGCTGAATAAATAATGAATGGGTTTTTACTTATAAAGTTTCAATTAATTTTTATAGAAACAAAAATGGTTGGTGCAGTGTTTTAAAGAGAAAATATAATTATTAAAAAAAATCCTTCTAAAACAGTATCTTTCAAATAAAACAAGCATATGAAGCAGAGTAAAGGCAAGATTACATAAAACTGAAATTAAAGTTGGATTTCTATTGTTTTCTACTTCTTTAAGTGGAGTGCTCCATATCCATTAACGTGGAGTCAGTCCTTCCTACTCATAGCAAACCTTAGGACAGGTAGAACTGACCCAGAGTCTCCAAAATTGTAAATCTTTATGGAAGCAGACTGCCACATCTTCCTCTAGCAGAGTGGCTGGTGGGTTCGAACCTGCCAACCTTTTAGTTAGCAGCCAAGCTCTTAAGCACTGTGCCACCAGAGTTCCTCAGGGTTCTCCAATAGATCTCTAATTTATTTTAAAGGTCCTTTATTCAATATTCTTTTGTTAATCTCAAATTATTTCTGAGAATATAATTTCTACATTTAAACTCATTTAAAACCTAACATTAATCCTTGAACTGTGTAGATAACTTCTAAAATGAACCTAGGACAACTTTTTGAGTACTTTTATTATATCTAAGAGAAAAACAAAACTCGAGTGCCTTTCTTGGGCAGTTCTTTTACAAGTAACTAATTAAGAAGACTGCTAATATAGCAAATCTTACCACTTCTGCTCCTTAATAAAGTCAGTCTGATTAATTCTGAGAGCTGTTAATTTAGTACCTTAAGAATTGATCATGGACACTGGTAAAGATAATTATAAAATTTAAATACATGTATCACAAACACATCAAAACATTTCACCTCAGATAAAGAATTTACTGGAAGTAATTTCTGTGTCAAGTTAGTAACCCCAAGTTACTAAGGTGAAAAACGTTTCAAAAATGCTTGAACATTTTTAGTCAAGACTAAATAAAGGAGGGGAGGGACTA